TGCCAAAAAAAACTGTGAATATCTATGTAGGATTTTGCTGTTTGAAGGAGTAAATTTATACTCTTATTGTGCATACCGGAATTAAATATTTTACTGAGGTATTCCTCAATGTCTTACCTTTCAACTGGGCAAGAAAAAAATAAATCACCAAAAATGAGTTTTAGCGCACTTTGGTTCCTCCCTGGCCCACTGTGCGGCGGTGTACGGTAGTGCATTGAACTTGTAGTGTGAGCTTGAGGTATTACGTAAATTACGTCATGTTGGAAAATATAACAACCTAAGAATCACTTGGAAACCTAACCACACCACTTTAAGTGTATGTGCTGTATACTGGAGGCGCACACAAGTAGTTAATTCTATTCAACTGAATTGTATTTTATTTTGTTGCTTTTAATCTATTGAACATGTTACTATTATTATACTTAGACAGCACCACTTGTGCGCTTAGAAACAACTGTATAAAGCGCCCTATAAATGTAATTATTATTATTTTGTGGATTGAAATGGGTGAATAACGGTATGACCATGCCAACTATGTTTATAATATACTCATATCGAGAACAAACTAAATTGTAATATTGTTTCAATAAGCTGCAGATATATTCCCTTCCCTTTCCCTTGTCTTTTGTAGTTAATCGTGAGGATCGTTTCATGTATCCCTGTAATCTCCATTTCCCTGTTTTAGCGTGTATTTGTATTTGATAAACTTTACTTTAGTTAATTATGTTATTTGTAGTTTGAGGAGCCTATCCACAACAAGCTCTGCTTTTCTATAGGCTCCAACTCATTGGACAACATTCTGAATAGTACATTTACCGGTATTGTATGTACATGTATATTAAAATCATTTTCATTATGTTGTTACACTCTTTGTAAAATGAGATATTTGGAAACTAATAAACTATCTAAACTATAAAGTATGCGTATAATTCCCACGAAAACACCGGAAGGGGCAGTAGTAATAACAACACTGACTGGTGTTTTTATGAATCAAGAGTCAATCAGTTACTTATATTTTCAAGGGTTTCTATAAAGGAAATGAAAGGATTTTTTGTATAACATAAATATTCAAAGGCATATGGCACTAGTTATCATGGATCAAGCACTATTTTCTATGCGGATTGCTTTATAATTGTAACGCCATTCATTTCCTGCAATTAGCGCTGTTCCCACACTAGCCGATGTATGATAAAACCTAGATGCTTAACATAAGATAGGCCTATATATTGATTATACTAATGTACTATACATGTCGTAAACAGGCATTTGCTAAGTTCTGTTGCCAGTGGTTGTGGGCCGCATGTCTCTAACATCTTACATATATATTTGTTCAAATAATTTACTGATTTCAGCCCGACTCACGTGATCCTACTTGTAACTTCTGGGAGTTTAATCTTGTTAAATGGTCTATGGAGGGATGTCAACTGTTACTTGATAACGCCGTCAAAAGCTTCAGTGATGAATACTACACATGCGCCCAGGCGCGGATCCAGGATTTCTTAGGGGAGGGGGCCCAACTTTTTTGTTTTTTGCTCCCGAAAATTTGAAAATCGCGCCGGCCGAAAAGTCGCTCAGTGGGGGGGGGGGGGGGGGGGGGGGGGGTACAGAGCACAATTTTTTTTTTTTTTTTTTTTTTTTTTTTTTTGCTCCCGAAAATTTGAAAAACGCGCCGGCCAAAAATTCGCTCAGTGGGGGGGGGGGGGGGGGGGGGGGGGGGGGGGGGGGGGGGGGGGGTAGTGAGCACATTTTTTTTTTTTTTGATCCTCAAAAAAAATCAATTTGCACCCCCCCCCCCCCTTGAGCGCCAGGGGGGGGGCCCAACCCCCAAAAATCGTAAAAATCACGGGATTTTACATGATTTTTTTCTCAAGGGGGGGGGGCCCGGGCCCCCGGGCCCCCCCCCCCCCTGGATCCGCCACTGCATGCGCCTGCGACCACCTGACCAACTTTGCCGTTTTAGTGGTATGTGATTCCTTCCACATGTTTAACATTTTGCATACAAACTACCTATCTTTAACAAAATACAACTTCATCTTTTATGCTGTTTATAATAACCCTAATTTTCCAAGAATAATCAAAATGTAAAATTTTAACTTCTATTCTAGTTTCATAAAATATCTTCATATTTCTGTTATCATATAACATGCAACAACTAGATAATACTAAACAGCATCCATTTTGAAATAAGAAACATTCCCTTTCTGTCAAGGATAATATTACATATGCAAGACTATATGATTTACAATTAAAGACTTCAGGTCAAAAGAGCCATTCAATAATCGTCGTTCAAGCTAATCTTATATCTCCATTAATCAATGTCTCTGATAATTTGCTTAGTTAAATTACTGCAAAAGAGAAATAACTAGAATTCAATTACAGTTTAACTGGTGACAAGGAAGCTTGGAAGACAGGAGCAGCCCGTGTCCAGTACAGATAAGTCTGGTGCAAGCTAGAAACACAAGAAACTGCCATTCCCAGTTTCAAAAGGTGCAGCCCACGAATGCTGCCGTCACCCACTCTGTCGGCCTATCTGAAGCCATCAAACCACTAGCAGGCTAGCTGCTGTGGCTGCTCTAAGACATTAGGGCTCAGAGGTCTTCCTTCTCAAGATCCTAAGCTTCAAGTGACCAATATTAAATCTAACTAGGGTTCATTCTATACCAAAGCTTCTAAAATATTGCCTTCACCTGCTGAACAAAACTTTGCAAGAAAACTATCTAAATCACCCTAATATTAATAGAGAATAGAATTCGAAACTTGCAGGAAGCCTAAAAGATTGTGCTAGACAAAAGGAAAGAAGCACATGCATATGAATATGCTAATAAGCTATTAACTGCACTACGATATATTTCGACAATAGCAGAGACATGACTATGACATACTATTTGGGTCAATGTTTGTAAAGAAAGACTGAGATAGAAATGACTAGTACCAAGCTACATGTCCTATTTCTTAAAATGTTGGCTAATTCACTTTATTGGTCATTTATCTTGACCGTTTTGCAAATGAAATAGACTTGAAATTCGATTTCACAATTTTTAAACCAAAACAATGAACAAAGATGTGTTCATTTTGAAAAGCTATACTGTAAATCGTACAAAGTGCAGAGCAATACACGGTTAACTTACTTTCAATGAGGTCCTGGACTGGGAATAGGGAGATAATGTAAATAAAGTGTAATTTAGTAAGAAGGTATTGTCTTCATCCCAATGTTTACAATTAGGATTGATAAAATTGAATGGCGTGACGCGCTTCAAACCCAATAGCAGATTTCACCTGTTACTTTTAAGCCTGTTATCAATGATCGAAGTTCAGAATGTGTATACAGATTTATTAATTCTTTACTGTAGTAAATCTTATTTCATTACTCCTGTACACGTTTTACGCTGAAGGACATATATGCAGAGGACAAACCTCCGAAACCTGCACTCCGTTTATTGAGTATCATTGGGTGTGCTATATCATGTGTGTGTCTGGTCATCGCTATCGCGTCCTATCTTAGTGTCAAGTAAGTCAAAATGTTTGTGGCTGTTCTTTTCTACCAGCCCTCCCCAATCCCCCAAAACAATTATTTGAAAGGTATAATCAATCTAAATCAATTAATTTATACAGAACAAAATCCTAAATAATCATGATAATGTACAAAAGCGATTGAAAATAAAAGAGTTGTTAGTGAATCTTCGAACGGAATGAGTGATGTATATCAGTACAGCGATTTCAAGTCAATGGTATTTTCGGCACCCATTTTAAAGTTTATATGCCGGCTTATATGCCTCAGGAATAATGATTATTGTGATAAGTGGAATTTGTCGTGTACACAAACATGATTAATTTCTGCTTTGCTCCTAAATGACTTCTCCCTCGGGGCACTTCTTAAAACATAATATGGATAGCATATTATAGGTCCTCTAAAAAAGAAGGAACCTCCTGATTCATGCATTTTGAACAAAGTGACAATTTACAAATTTTCTGTGTTTAAACAAATGGAGAATTTGTCCGGTACTACGTCACAGTGACATTATCGATTTTAAAGTGGCACGTTCCCGCCAGTGTAGTTATCGCTGCTCTAGTCATCGCCATCTTGGTTCCGAAGATCGACTTCTAATTTGCATACAGCTGTCAATCAAAGTACGCGCGGCCTGGCCTGCCTTCGCCAAGCCAGCTGATCGCTGACGATCGCGACGTCACGAAAGTGGGCGGAAACAGCAGCAGAATCTTAGAGCCGAACTGCGATTGGCATTACTTCGGCACATGTATGCGATACTCGGTAATGTCCGGGCATTCGGAACATGCCATCTGCGTAAGAGCCGTATTCTGTTGGTGTGAATAGGCAGCTAGCACCGTCCGCCAGCGGGTACGTATTATGAACGCCCTCTGGAATACGGGGAACATGCCTCTTTAAGCAAATATAGAGCACCTAACATCATTTGCAATTTTTTTTTTAAAGGATAATTATTATTATTATTGTTACTTAATAAATTGTATTATTATCATTATTATTTTTTTGTGGAGGGAGGGGGGTAGGGGTCCTTTTTTATGCAAACTTTCACCAGTCTGCTTCTGTTGTGTCTCTCAAAAGCTTTGGAATAGCTTACCACGGGACATAAGAAAAGCCCCGTCTGTGGCCGTTTTCAAAGTTTTATTGGAGACACACCTGTTCTAAGAATCCTTTTGAATAAGTTTTGGTTGTGTGTTACTTTAGGATTTCTTTCACTACAGTGTGAGGCAGTATATTGCATTAGCTGCACTGTAAATCGATCGTATTATTAAAATTATGTCGTATACAGTTTACATTGCAAGGAACTGCCCTTTGTAGTACAATCAGATCAAAGAATTTTCGTTTATTTCTAGGAAGAAAAAAGAAAACTAGCCAGACAAAACGTACTTACAATAATATCTTTCATCAACAGGAAGATACGAAGATCTCAGACTCACAAGATTTTCATCTGTCTTTGCACCACCCTGCTCTGTTTGTACACCGTCTCCCTCGCCACAATCGCTCTCGACACGGAGTTCAAGCATGCCGAGGTCGAGTTGATACCGTGTACCGTCCTGGCGGCACTCGTCCACTACTTCGTGCTCTCTTCGCTTACGTGGATGGGCATTGAGGGGTTTAACACTTATCTGGTCATCGTAAAAGTGTTTAATACTTACATCCCGAAGTTTATGATCAAAGCTTCGATTGTAGGATGGGGTAAGAACTATTGATTTTTCTTGATAATACAACAAAATAATACACATCTAGTGCGTATTATTAAAGAAAACAATTACAAGAGACGTGACCTGTATTGGTGTCTAGATGACGCTAAGGATGACCACAGACTTTTCAAGAACAGACAGCGGTTGTTTTTACACTTGATTCCTTTAATCACTGTTGTACTATTTGTCTTGTTAAAGGAGGATAGCCACGTCATCCCAACTCACCACACCCTTAGAATGGCATCGGCTGCTGGTATTACTCTTAGAGGTGTTTTCCCATTTACCTACCGAGGCTAATCAAATTTTGCCTTTGTTCTAGACTGTCGCGCGTTAATGTTGTGCATTGGCCTGAACCTTTGCTCTCTCCATATATATCATATGTCTTTACCTGATCGTCGGGTGACGGTGTACTAATCGAGTGTTGAGTTGTGGATTAGTATCAGACGTAGATGACTCTAAACTCTACACTCTAAACCCTACCCTCACCCTCCCCACCCCCTGAATAATCAGGACCACATTGTTTGAAGCGAAAAACGCCTTGGGCAACTTTCAGTCTTTGTTTATTATTTGTTTGTTTATTTGTTTATTTGTTTGATTATTTATTCATTTTCTATTTCTTTGTTTTATTATTCTCGTATTTTTTTATTTAAAAAAAAATTACTTGTATAGTTTCGTATTATTTACTCCAAAGTGTATAGAGCAATGGAGCTAGTATAACAGGAACATTGTCTTATTTTCAAAATATATATAATTATTTTCTTTTGAAACTCAGGTATCCCGGCTGTGATTGTTGCCGCAACTGGGGGAATCACTATGAACTATTATGCTGAAGAAGATTAGTAAGTTGAGCCATATTTGTACATGAGGAATCTTGCGAAAAAAATGGTAATTGATGAAAAGTTATAACTGCATTCACTTCGCGTGTATCTATGTATCGAAGTTCAAACAGAATACTCCTATTATTTTGTGTCGGCAGAATGGCTCTAATACAGCTCTGGAATAGAGGAAACAACAACATTGCTTGTGCTTGACAATCATGACTAGGGTACTGATTAATTATATTAATGCGAGGTCAACCTTGTTTTCTGGAGTCTTCTCCAAGCAATGCTCACTTTTCTCTTTATCTCCATCCACAGTTGTTACATCCGGAAATGGCCCCTCATTGGTGGTCTCTTGGCCCCAATGGCTATCATCCTCATCATCAATATCACTGTGTTCATCCTGGCAATGTGTCGTCTGGAAAGTTCTGCACGATTGGCAGGACGTGTGAAGAAGCACTGCAAGACCGATCGACAAGAGACCCTAGAACGGATCCAGAATGGCATCGCCATGTTGCTCCTGCTTGGCTTCACCTGGACTACTGGATACCTGACCCTGATAAATTTGGACTACACTGAACTCCTCTTCATCATCTTTAACTCCTTGCAAGGCTTCTTCATCTTCGTCCTCTATTGTCTTCGAAAGGAGACCATCAGGAAGCAGTGGCGCCGTTGTATTTGCTGTGCACTGTTGCGGGAAGGTGGCGGCGCTGAGTCCCACGGAAATTCTGGACGAACACCAGGATCTACCAGTGGGACTGGAGGCTCCCAACCTATGTTTGAATCTTCGTCTCCCATATCTCATACCAATCCATCTTTTGAAAACTCAAATTAGATAAAAAAAAAAACATCAGGCTGTGAAGATTCATGTGCGAGCGATGTATCTCTTGTCACTAATAGCCAGGAAATGATAGTAGACATGAGAGACTTTGATTTAAATAAGGTAATTTCTAAACCCCAATGCATTGCCTATCGAAATTATGTTCAGATTACGTAATATGGCTTATTCGTGTTCCTACATTTCAATGTGTAACGCCCAAGTTTATTGAAATTGCCTGAAGTTAATTTGTTTAAAGTCCTAGCGATCTTGCTGTACATAAATGAAACCCTCTGGAATTTTATTAAAACGCTTTGTAATTTGTTATTTGCTCTCGATGGTAGGGACTATCTGACTTGTTGGAATTATGTTGTATGAATGAGCATCATAGGTTGATACACAATAATGCATTGTGTGAATGCGGAAGTGTTTGTTTGAATGATTAATTGACACATTTTCATATAAACATAATCATATGCAATAACACGAAAGGGTTGTAGAGGGGTAGTGTGTTTGTTTGTTTAGTTTGCTTCATTGTTAAACATTTCACATAGCAAGGTTGTCTCATGCATAAGATTTAACAAGAAAATACACAAAACAGTGTTAAACATTTCACATAGAGAATCGATGATGTGAAATAATGAGGAACCTACTTAGTAGCACAGCTTGTAAATTATAGGTTCCCGAAATAAATACAAAATATCGGTTTCTGATTTCGATAGCAAAAATTATATTAATAGTTTGAGTCACGGAGACATTCGTATTATAAATAACATGTAGACAAGGTTTGCGGCCACAATTGAAGTAGGCTACTTGGTGCTGCAAGATGAATATTGTTTAGATGAGAAGAAGTATCAAATAAGAATTCTGTGCCTAATACATTTTTGTTATTATTCTGAATTAGAGGTTTTGATTTGGGGTTCACATTCATTTTGAGGCAGATTCAAAACTTTGCTTAATACACGAAAAGATAGGAAGGGTATATTTCATCAAATTTCTGTTTCACATATCATTTCCTTCAGAAAATTGGTCATATGGGCAATAGTCATATTCATTTTCTTGTTCAGTATGCATGAACTTGTTTCCGCCGATAGACATTCCGATTCCCCTTTAACGCCCAAAATACTGTTTTGTTTGTATTTTCTAAAATATTCCTGATAATTGTTTTCAATTATTGTAAATTCTAAATTGTAAAGTGTATAAAAAGAGCTTTCTGTTCTGAAATACGTTACAGAAGAACCCCAATATTATTCGTTTAATATTTTTTGTTACGTATTTATCATTATCATTATTGATAATATTGATATTATTATTATCATTATTACCACTATTATTGTCTTTATTAATCTGTTTTACTTAATGCTTTATAATTACATCGGATATGTCAGCTTTTAAGGCTAAGAAAATATTAAAATATCCCCTAGCTATGTCGAATGATTTGTTGAGTATAGACGTTCCCGTATCAGCCAATATCCACATGGACATTGCTGTAAATAAAATAAATACTGTAAGTTTGTATTTTTACCATTGATTTTCATATTATATACAGAATCTACAATATTTCCATTATATATATATATATATATATATATATATATATATATATATATATATATTGTAGTGCATAATCATTAGACTATGGATTAGACGTACTAATACTAGTACTAGTAACATAAGATAAAGATGAAGGTAATTTGTATTAAACAATAAAAACCCATCGCGACGATGATGGATACGTGTTTATGAAAGTTATATAATCATTATTCATGTTTGCACTGGCGGTACTTTTTATGATAAGAGGTGGAAGTGTTATTTTCAAGAGGACAAACAAAATAGGTGTTCTAGAAGCACCTTAATGTAAATACAATGTACGTGACCGCTCTGGATCTTTCATGGGCTATCCTGCCAAATATCTCTTTATATGCCCTTTCTCATGTCTTTTGTACTACTGTATTTTGATATGTTTAGCTTTGCAAAAAATAAAAAATAAAATCAACTCATATCAACCTCTACTACTTTTGTAATGATTATTCTAACATGCACACAGTGGGACATACGTAAGTCTCCATGTATCAAAGATCTGTGAATATTTGGGGGTCATCTTGTTCAAGTGCTATCCCCGAAAAAGTTTACCATGATATAACATTTTCGTAATATAACCAAATCTCACTATAAACATGACGGACAAAGAGAGAGGACAAAATATACAGTTTCTCAAGTAGATAAAAGGAACATTCCTTCACTGCTATTACATAAACATGTGTAGAACAGGTGTCACTTTTTATTCACCTATTCTACGCATTTTGTATATGATAGCAGTGAAAGGATGTTCCTTTGTCTACCTAAGGAACTGTATATTTTGCCCTCTTTCTTTGTCCGCCATGTTTATAGTGTATTATGCATACATCTATGTGATGTGCCTCGATACGAATTATTTCATTAATCTTTTACGAACAATAATTTTTCAATAGTCAGAATACAAACTCCATACATTCGTTGTTGCAAGGTAGAAACACAAATTATGGTTTGCCCTACCCAACAACACGTAATATACGCATTTAGCATAATGAGTATTTAAATAAAAACAATCTATACTTCAAAGGTGAATGAAATATTTATATTGAGTCACTTCACTAAATTAAGGTAATCTCATTTATTACACCAAGGTTTTTCATAATTCATCGTCTGTATTTGCCATCGTTCAGTTTCGCCTTGAAACCTCTTGCCTTTTGCTCTGCCGTCGAATCCACTGCACAATGAAGTTAGTCAGTACAGAATATGCCTATCCAACACTAACGCGCCTCTATTTTTTTAGGCGGAAAATTTGAAAAAGTTATTTTTTTAAAAATCGTTTAGCAAATACTGACTAAAGACTGCAGTACACGTTTAGGCTCTGGAGGTCCCAAGAGTGCAGCGTTTAGACTAATACAAATTCAAAAATCTTCTCGCTCGGTAGTCTAGTTCGGGACTCTTTCTTTTTTTCTTTTTTTAATTCGCCGACAATAAGCGTTTAGTCTCATTTCACAACGCGCCCTATCGTCAGAGTCAGCAGCCTAACATGTTAGCCTATGGATGTGTTTTTTTTTAATCGTTAAAAATTCATTTTTTGTTTAAACTAAAAGCACATCCACCCCGACGTACGTTATCACTAGCTCTTTCATTGGAGCCCTCATGTCTCATTGACTTTTGAAAGTTCACTCACCGTAATTTTTCAAAATAGGTTGCAAGCTCGCCATTGCCTATAATACACTTGTGAAACAAGTCGAACTTTGGACTCAGTCTGCCAAGCGATTGTAAGATTATAGGTCAAGCACACGAAGGATAAGAAACATTAATTATCAATTATCACTTCTGCTATGTTCATTATGTCCATTTCATCTAAACCCCCCCCCCCCACCGTAATTTTTCCATTTAGTAAAAGCAAACATTTAGCCGAGGTAAGCAAAAACATGAATATTCATGACACACCATGGACTATTCGGTTATTAACAGAGGGGTGCAATCGGTCATCACGTCAAACTCCCCTAATTGCCACCAAGTATTTCATATCATTATATAGTTTGGTATGTTTTTTTTTACTCACTCATGAATTATTAAATATCAATGATGGTTTAAAGATATGTAAAAGAAATTTTAGTTGCTATTTATTAACAAAGTAATTTATATTTAGCAAAGCAATCTCACATACAAAATTACTATCAAGTGTCGTCTGCTTCGCCGATTGTCGACTGCTTCGTTTAAGGCACATATTTATCGTTTGGACTGTAAGATATACCAGGGAGATGTGTATTTCCTGCGGTACAACGTATAGCAGGAAAATGTTGTATATGCGGATCCTTTTAATGATTACGTAATAGAAGTGGCGAGACGCCACGATTCCGTATGTTTGAATAACTTAGGCAGGTGAAAGTTATTGTATTGAGAAGGAAAGGAATGTTCACACCCGACGGCGCGGTGGCCTGTACATATAGCGAAGAAGAAGAAGCATGTATAATTCGCGCCATTGCGCGCGAACACATCACACCCAATGGCATACACCCGGTACCCTGCAACCAAGGAGGTGAAAGAAAAGGAGGCGAAACTCTTGTTATTTATTCAAACGCATTCTTGAGTTCTAAAGCGTAACAATGGGATGTGTAACATTCCACTTGGCTTTGAAGTTCCATGCTCCGAACCGCGCTTCCACTGCGGGGACTTTCGGAAGCCAGGCACCAGTTTTACATTTATTACAAAATATTAAATTACCGGCAAAATTTCAGTGTAATTCAAAAACTTTATATGGGGATTTTATTGGGAATAGTACATCAAACAAATTTTCAAATTTAGAACTCCGTCCTTCCTTTAATTTGTGTGCCAGAGTTGGTAAAAGAAAAATTACATCCTGTCAAAAACTCAATATTTTAGGATGATGCGCTAATTTGTGCATTCTTTAATGTCCCGTTATTTGATCCATGATTTACAATCTTCAATAAAATTAAGTTTGCTAATGCGTGTTTTCGCGTGTTTTTTGTATTTTTCAAGTTTAAAAAAGGATGAAAGTACACAAGTTTGTGTTCGCTTGTTCTACTCTTTACACATTCAACAATGGATGAGAAATCATTGGAAGGGACAGCGAACAGTTGCAGTGATACCATTTTCTGATGTAGGAATTCTAACTCCTGAAATTTCTTGCGCTCTTTTATCTCACCACCTGGTCAACAGTTGCAGATTAGCGCATAACTTTTCGGCGGCTTGGAGCATGGGGTCAAAGGAGAGCGGCTTGATTCCAGTCCTTCTCTATCACGTCCCTGCTGCAACACAGTGGAACATTCTAAGAAATTGAAAATTTATCTACAAAAAAGACCTCTTGAATCATCTGAGACGTAACTTACCCTATTCTGATGACTTCAATAAATTTCAAGATAACAATGGCTGCGTTTCCATCCAAAAATAAAACTAGTTTGCAATTAGAAATAGTCCATTTCTCGATAATTTCACAAAATACATTTTCCGCCGCATTCAATATGACGTCATTGACAGCTGATTGGCTAGTTTGGCAGTGACGTCGAACGAGCTATGTTTGTGCTGCAGTGATCCAGCGAGCGAAAATGAGACAATCGGAGCAATATGGTGGTCGAGTGGATATGTCATTCCCCCCCCCCCCCCCAGTAAAAACCCGGTCTGAAATAGCCCAGTTAAATAGGGTTAAGAATATTACTTTGCAGTCGGGTGCGATGGTCTAAAATTCTAAATATTCATTTGTTTAAAGATTTGTGAGGTCGCCGTGTGAAAATAACATCTTATACAGAGAAAAA